AGAAGAGGAGATTATATTTTAAAAACATTATCAGCAAGTAATACACTGTTATTATATAAACTTGTTAGTTGGGTATCAAACCTGCACAGATGTGTGTGTCATTATTGTATATTAAAAAATATACCATATGTGGAGAGAGAGAGTACACATTTAGGACTTCTTTAAAAGGCTATAGATGCTCCTCAGGAAGGTTTCCTGCTCTCCGTGTCCCAAATATGGCACCATTCTTCATCACTATTTTGACTGCAGGATAATGTCCTTGATCTCAACTTTTAGTTATAAGTGATTTCATTGACGCAACTGTTGAGGCTCATAAAACCACAAGATTATATTTTTCTTTCCTTTCTGTTGTTCTTTTTGAATAATGTAGGTTTCTGCTATGGTTAGTCAGTGGAATGGAGCAGACTATGGCCATGTAGTAATTATAGAGTAAAAATATGTTGTACAGAAACAAGGCAGTTGGAATGAGAACTGAGATTCAAAAAAAGTTTGCCTTATGAATACAGTATATATAAGGTGGTGAATCAAGGCTAATCTATTAAGTAAATTGCACAAGTACTTATGTGAATTACAAGTGACTATGTAGATTGCACCAAATTTATTTTGATGTAAAAGAATATCTTATAAAAGTTTCTGTATGGATAATGTGTAAAGGGTATTTGGAACAATATTTTTGCCCTAGGGCCGATTGCGCTATGATAATCCACATGCCCACCAAAGGCACATCATCATTGATGTGGTTAGACTTAACTTGTGGTGTATGTTGTATGTATATATATTAGATGAAACAGTCATATATACCAGGAGACAAACTGAGTGGAAATTCCTCAATATATCATATTCTTAATTAAACCAAAACTAGAAGTTTCAGAAGTAAAACATTGCCAAGAAATGAGTGGTAGTTCTTAATATCATTATTTGCATTTTCTTAAAAATAACAAATGGGGGACGCAGAACATGATCTCGTTCCTTGAAAGTTATTAAATCTTGCATAGAAAGACTGTACTTATTCATATACATGGATTTATTGCTGCAATCTTTTTTTCCTTTCTTTCTTTTTGATAACCAACCCAACCTTTTTACCTAAGTTAATAAAGATGAATATATATTTCTGAAATATAGTCTATTTACATTTTTGTTCTGTATTACTGGTTGCTGTGTATTATGAAGTGATATGAATCTTGTTACAGGGGTAGAGAGAAAAACAAAACAAAAAAAAACAAAAATAATATTTTGTTTAATTACACTGTAAATATCTTGTACAGAATCTGTAAATATCTAGGGATAATTCTGTGTGTGGGTTTCAACTTTATCCAAATACCAGATGGAAGTCAAAGTGAAATCTAATGGAATTTTGTTTCCTGTCCACTCTGAAGAGAAGGCCTTTGTTCACAAGACTAGAGTTACACTGTCACTTTCTATGCTTGCTTCTATGATCTTTCTGCATAAGGTTTTCATTCCGTCACCATCTCATTGAGCTTTTGCATTATGAAAAGTTCACATCGAGGATATATGCCATTTTAGCTTATACTTGTTACTAGAAAGAGAAGATCCAAAACATGTTGGTCAGGGAGGGAAGGTGTAGGTGAATCTTAATCTGAAGAAGAGGATGGGTTAAGCTTGCAGTATAATCACAGGAATTTTCCAGAAGATATGGATTGTCTGTGTGAATTTGAATGTTCTGTGGATTTTGTTTGTAAAAATACTTTTATGACATGTTTGTTTGAAAACTGAAAAGATGAAGTTAATATAGCAAGGTTTCCATTATGCTAGCTGTATGACCATACAATGTAGAAGGCATTCTCAGTTAGTCAATAGCCTATAGCCTCTTATGAAAGAAAGGGCTTAAAAGTGCACAGCTATATGCATACACATACATAAACCTATATAGAATTTTCAGCTCAGAATTACCTGTGAACACTATGTAATAATAGGCTGTTTGTATGGTAGTTAGCCTACTAGAATGTCAAGAGGAATCATGCAATATTGAGCACTGGACAGGATCAACAAGTCCATTGATAGATATGTTGAGCAACATTGCATGTCTTCATGAACATTTTTCTCTATGTATGCTATTATACCCCACTTATATAGTAGAGTTGTCTTTGGTCTGTAAAAATGCCAAATAGTGGGACAGTTAAAACAGAAAGATTGGCAAAGCTGTGTTTGATAGTCATTGCAAGTTAAAACACAAATGTATTTCATATTTCCTTGGTGTGATCTGAACTTTTTGAGTTTTGGAAAGCAACTTTATATGTTTCTTGGGAGTTATCATAAATGATATTTAACTTGTTTACAACATTAAGGTAGCAGTTTATAGGAGGCTTATTTTTTGTATAGTATGTAAAATATATATATAAATCTGCCAATTTTGTGTTGAGTATTGCCATCTAGCCATCATATTTTCCATGCTGTTGTCAGCTGTCTTTTTCATTACTGTATGTATATCATATACCTTGATATTGAATATTGAAGAAGTATAATCTTTAGTGTTTTTAGATGACTTTTGTTTCATTTCATCCCAATGACAAGCTAAGGAAATGTATTTGAGAAAAAAAGTAATATGAATAACTCAAAGTGAACACTGAAGTATTCTCAAACCAAGAGCTGATTAGGGTACAATAATCCAACATTTCATTTTCCATTCAGAAGAAAAACAATCCCTTTGCTTGTTTTTTCGTGGCGGGCTTAAACACAAAGACTGAGGCCCAGTATAGGGGGTCACCTCTACTGTGAACTTCAGCCCTCGCCTCAACCTTAGCGACCCAACACATTTAGTCCTAATCATTATCTCATTTTTACCCTTTTTACCCCCACCCCCCAATCCCTTGCCCGTCATTGTTATGAGAGGTTAGGGGACGGGGACTAGGACCCAATGCTGGGGATCTCCCCTACCTTGGGCCTCAGCCCTCAACTTGGCTAATTTTACATGGTCTTTTCTCCCTCCAGCTCTTTCGTTTCCGCTCCTTCTCCAATCCCTTCTGCTATCTACTAACTAAAGTGTAAGAGCCCCCTCAATAATACTCCCTTTTACACACGTCCCCGTCCTTCTACCACTTCAGCTCTACAAATATCTTACATACTCTATTTAGCCCAGCCAAAAGGGATCGATTTTTCGTGATCCCCCCAACAGCTCCTGACTCAGACAACACCCTTCCGTACTCGACCGGACTGTTCTTGTCTCATTACAGTTACATATGAAACTAAAGTTTTAGCATTATCAAATCTAACTGATCTCTCTGGCAACCCCATTCCTGCAGAACCTCATCCAACCCCTAATACTTGTACCAGAACTGTCTCTATCTCCTCAGCAAACTACCTTATCGATAACAAAGATTGTTCAGAATGTGGAGAAGACTTACTCGCCTGCCTCAAGGACCATGATGTATCAATACAGTTCTATTCCATTCCTCCTAGAGGTCATTGAAAGAAACCCACCAACATTGCCAAAATTACTTTCAGTAGACATGACCTTGGTGGACAATCCTTCCTTATCCGACCATATCAACCCCCTCTCCGTCCACGTCAAAACTGTTGGTGTTTAGGATATCCTGCCAAACACTACCGTTCCACAGAGTGCACAGCCTAATCTGGCCATAACCGATCAAACTGTTCTGCACAATCATGCACGTGCTAATTGCGGCGGCCCCTATAATGTATTTTACAAAGGCTGCCCCACCTGCAAGTTTGAATCTGAGGTGGCAGTTCTCAGATAAAAACTTGGTCTCACACACTCACCCTCACCTACCATTGCCTTTACTCCTCAGACATCAGTCTCCTCTCCCCCATCCTATAAGAAAACCATCATCTCAAAAAACTCTTCAACCAACTCCAAAATGACACCGAAACCCACCCACAAATTCCACAACTCCTGCTCCCTCCACACTGCCGATATCCATCCTCCTCCTACTCATATTCCCCCTACACCCCTTCCTCCAACTCCCTCCCAACACAGCCCATCCCCCTCAGATATCCATCCTCCTCCTACTCATATTCCCCCTACACCCCTTCCTCCTACTCCCTCCCAACACAACCCATCCACCTCAGCTTCAACTACACATACATTAACCCTCCCTCCATCCCCTCTATCCCTTCCACTCCCTCCTGGATACGCACGTGAATCCCTTATGTCACAACTACGCCCTTCCCCAGATCCTCTACCTCCTGATACTACACCACCACCCCATCCACTTCCTTATCTCACCACCTAGCCCTTTCCCCTTCATATTCTCCAAAACGCAATGTAACCGTTATCACTCATATACTTTCATACATATATAAGCAATAGCTCTCCTACCCTGGAATATTCACTGTTTCCGTTCTCATAGACTTTCCCTTCGTCATGTCCTTCCTATAACCCATCCATTATCTGCTTCCAAGAGACTTCTTACACATCCTCCTATACTAATTCCCAACTCCCCAATAATGTTCCTCTTTCAGTTCCACACATTCTGTTGTCCTGTCCACAGCCCACACCTCTGCTTTCCCCCACCTATCCTTCCTTCACCGACCTCCCAACCTATCAGAAATCCTTACAGAATCCTACACTTTCTGCTTTAATCTGTTTTCCTTCTTCAGATGCATACATATCTTTCACTTGATCTAATCCCCTTACCCAAACCCCCACAGCCCATTCTCTCATCAACTCCTTGATCCATCTTTAACCTTTCAATACTACTCTATATAGTTGACGCATAACAACTATCACCCTTCACCACCATGTACTGTACTTTCCTAGAGAGCTATATGACCTTAGATGTCCAGCACATTTATTTTGCTTTTTAAACATTAACCATTACCCTTTCTGCCAAAATTAATTTTGGCACATTAATTTGCTTTGACCATTAACCATTCTAGGAATCCACAGACATTGCATTATGAACAAAAAAAACTTCCTCGTCGGGGGCTTCATCCCCAAGCCCCACCTTATCGCTATATTTTGAGTAAGCCGCTAATGACCTTAGATGTCGGTACGGCTGAAAAAAATCAATGATTAAAGTACTAGAATATTCAGAAAAGAACTAAGCTAAAAGACTATCAAGATATCAGATCATTTATCATTTTATCTATAGTTTTATCTATATTATTTTATTTTGTGTCATCCCTCTCAGTCCCTTCTTCGCTGTCGTCGCAGGGGCGTAGGAGATGAAGACTGAGGGGATCTATCCTGTCTTACAGCCCTTGCCTCGACTAATTTGGCAAGGTCTTTTCTACTCCTTTCCTTGTCTTACTCTACCAATACCTTGCTCGTTGTTGTCATGGGAAGGCTTAGGAGACAGAGACTGAGAACCAATGTAGGGGATTACCCCTACCTTGGGCCTCTGCCTTCGCCTCAGCTAATTTTGCTTGGTCTTTTTCCGTACCTTCTTCATTCCTTTCTTTTATCCCATTCCTAAGGTGTAAGAGCCGTGCTGAAAGGATAAAAAGTTTGCTTTGTGTCAGTCATGAACGGCCTCATGGAGCTATGGCCAAGGATAATTGGTTAATTGCCTAGCCCTTATCCCTTATGGGGACCCTTAGGGGTATTTAGGCTCACCATGGCCAATAATGAAGATTCTTAATAGAGGCATAAAGGCATGCTCCTTCACCAACTGAATCTGACTGATGGTTTTTGGACCCCTGCCTCTCCTTTGACCACGGCTCCGACCACTGATACCAATACCCCCTCTTTGACGCTTTTGGACGACTCTGTCCATTCCAAAACGCCCACCCAGGTTATTACTCAACCTCCAGAAAGCACCCCCTCCTCTCTCCCAATACTTTCCTCTCCATCTACTTCACCTCATTAATGTCTATCCCCTCTTCCCTTATTACTACTCTTCATCCTTATTGCCCCCCCCCCCCACACACACAGAACTACTCCACACCACCCCATCTTCTTCTCGCCCTCGTCCTTCTACTCTACTTCTACAAACCGTTTGAGTGCTCTCTTTGGCCCAGCCAAGTGGGATCGATTCTCACTGGCAAACTGACCTTACTGGCAAACCCATTCCTGCCGAACCTCACCCCTCTCTTAATACTTGCACTGGAACTGTTTCTATCCCCCTAAATGCTTTTCCTACCAACAGCAAGGGCTGGTCAAACTGTGAAAATGATTATGCCTTGCTGATTATGATGCAGTGGCAATGCAGGTTACACTATACCTCCCATAGTCCAGTTTCATGTCAATATTGCCAAGATTAGCTTCGGTAGACATGACCTACCACATATATATTAGTGGATTGTCCTACCATGTCCGACCATATAGACCTCTTCCTCTTCAATGTCAGAAATGGCATTTTGACCACCCAGCCAAACATTGTCGCCTCACAGCCTGCTACCCTCTATGTGCCCAAACCTGGTCATGGACGTTCAAATTGCCCTGCTCAGTCACGTACATGTGCCAATTGTGGGGACCCATAAAGTATTTTATAGGTCCTTTATAGGGACTCCTTATCGGAACGTCACATAGCCTAAGCCACGCAGGACCTCGAGACCTTTCAAATGCACCTAGTTGTTTCAATACGGAAGAAGAGCTAAGCTCAGGTGGTGCCGTCTGCTATATTTAAATTGTCGTACAACTTTTTAAATTGATGCATATTTTTGGCACACACTACGTGTTTGGGAAGACCGTTCCATGCTTTAATAGTTCTGTTTGGGAAACTATATATTTTTTATATCTTTATCACCTCTTTTTACTTTCAACTTTTTGTTGTGTCCTCTCGTTCTTCTTGTGTTCAAGATCAAAAAGTCTTCTTTATCTATCTTCACTCTTCCTGTAATACAGTTTAACAGCATAATCATTAACGAAAATAGTAAACATAATCGGCGCCAACACCGATCCTTGAAGCAACTCCGCTAGTTACTCGTTGCCGTGTAGAATGCTTCCCTCTAATTACTGTGCTCATCTGTCTTTCATTAAGAAAGTCTTTCATCCATGCGAGCCGTTTGCCTTTCACTCCACCTAGGTACTCTAATTTCCATAGTCGTCTTCTGTGAGACACCTTATCAAAAGCCTTTTTAAAGTTTTACACACAATCCACCTAGCCGTCTCTTTCTTGTAATATTTCAGATACTATCATAAAAAAAAACAGAGGAGATTTGTTACACATGACCTACATGACCTTCCTTCTCAAAACCCAAATTGTTTATTTGATATTTCACGTTTATCATGTATTTCAATCCATTGTACCCTAATTATTCTTTCTAGCAGCGTGCATGCTTCGCTAGTTTTCTTTGTCGCCGCTTTTATATAAAGGTGTAACATTTGCGAGTTTCCAACTTTTTTGGCAGTTTATCTTGTCTCAATGATTTTTGGAATATTAACAATAAAGAAGTACACAGTTCTTCGGCACATTCCATGAGAACCCAGTTAGAAATTTCATCTGGTCCCTCTGCTTTGGCATTGTCTAATCCGTTTAGTAGATCTTTTATTTAATTTTTTGAGGGTGATATTTTCGATGTTTACGTTTTTGTATGGGTATTTGCTATATCAAATTATGGATCCTCAACAAACACTGG